TCTCTCTCTCTCTCTCTCTCTCTCTCTCTCTCTCTCTCTTCTTTCTTGCCCTTTTTTTCACACTTTTTCGGTTGGTTGTGCTTCTATGGTGATATCTCAGACCTGTCCAGGAGAGAGGGGAGGGATATTTCCACGAGGCAGAATCTTGCTCTTGAGTGCTTCTCATTGGTGAGAAGCTATGATCAGAGCAAAATCATCCCGTGGGAGATGAAAGCAGCTCCTTCGCCGGCGGTGATGCTCAATGCCATGCATCACTACTGGATACAGGACGTCTGCCAAATGTGTTGATGGTCAGCGGTAGTCTTTTGGGGAAGTTGAAAAGCATGATGATGTACTGTTTAGGAAGGTAGTGAACCACTGGCAATGGGAACTCAATTGTACTCAATTGTAGAGGGCGGTGCTCTCTCTCTCTCTCTCTCTCTCTCTCTCTCTCTCTCTCTCTCTCTCTCTCTCTCTCTCTCTCTCTTGCCCTCCTTTTCACACTTTTCGGTTGGTTGTGCTCCTATGGTGATATTTCAGACCTGTCTAGGAGAGAGGGGAGGGATATTTCCACGAGGCAGAATCTTGCTCTTGAGTGCTTCTCATTGGTGAGAAGCTATGATCACAGCGAAATCATCCTGTGGGAGATGAAAGCAGCTCCTTCGCCGGCGGTGATGCTCAATGCCATGCATCACAACTGAATGCAGGAGGTCTGCCAAATGTGTTGACGCTCAATTGTAATGTCATGCCACTTAGGAGTGATTAGAAGGTGTTGCAGTAAGTAAGGTGTTGGGGAGTTGAAAAGCATGATGATGAAAAGTTGAGGAAGGCAGTGCAACTGCTGGCAATGAGAATTTTATTCTGGAGGGTGATGCTCTCTCTCTCTCTCTCTCTCTCTCTCTCTCTCTCTCTCTCTCTCTCTCTCTCTCTCTCTGTGTGTGTGTGTGTGTGTGTGTGTGGGTTCAATTCTTCTATAAGCGCCAAAAATCAAGACCAAGTCGCTTCATAAATGGCAAGTGCTAAAAGAAAAGAGTGCAAGGCTGGCCCAACCACTGAGACCGGCCAGACCTTCCCGCAGACAATGTTCAGCAGCGAAACGGCTGTTTGAAGGCACTGGTGTGGTCGAGCTTTGGGTGCCCACATTCTGCCCTTTCTGAAAGGCACACTTGTACATTGCTGTACGTTGCTGAAAGAGAGGGCGGACATGAGAAACCAATCTGCAACCAGCAGTGAAAGTCACAAGTTGGCCTCTGTGTGTGTGGGGGTGGGGGTTGGGGGAGGATGTCGTGTTTGCTAAAAGCAAACCCAGAAAACAAACGTAACTGTGACACACTGATGCTTTGGAATTGCATTGGCTCATCAGGGGGTTGAACCCTGACAGTCTGTTCATAATGCATTACTCGGATGCATGGAAACACACCATCGCACACAAAGTTAGGAATATCCTTTAGAGAAGTGGTGGACCTGACTCACACCAACTTAGACAATCCTTGCAGATTGTCTTCTTGAAACTGCTGGCAAGAATGACAGTAAGTCCACGAAGCAGGTGTATCCTGCCTGTGAAACACAACTTTTTTTTTTCATCTCTTGTTTTTTTGCTGTGTGTGTGTGTGTGTGTGTGTGTGTGTGTGTGTGTGTGTGTGTGTGTGTGTGTGTGTGTGTGTGTGTGTGTGTGTGTGTGTGTG